ATGTGTTTGCAGTRTATTAGCTTAGGGGCAAAATCATTTAGTATAAACATTTTCACTGAACACAATCTTTTTAGAGACTTTATCAAGAATAATAATTAGTAAAACAAATTTGGGGAATTAAAATATAACCTTACTTTCTTACCCKGTCCAATATCCTTTCTGTCATCATCCATACCAGCTTTTTCACAAATGGTCTTTGAAATTCTCTTTTTATTTTCTGTTGGACCTACTGGTCTCTCTTTCAGCAACAAAGGAATGCTAGAAGTTGAAGTGTTCACTGTTTGACTCTCAKTTTGATTTACTTTTGACCAAGGATCAGGGTCTAAAAAATTCATGTACACTGGAGTTTTCTCAGTTTTTTTATCTGAAGTGAAAAGATCAAAGGTTGACCTTCCACTTCTGTTTACTAAATCACCAGATGGCTTTATGTGAAATGAATCTGATTCTTCCAGCTGACCTTCACTGTACATTTTTTCTGAAACTATTTTGCCATTTAATGACTCTGTTTTCTCTGTGTTATTTAACAACATATGCTGTGTTTCGTTCACTTTTACAAAAAGGAAGAGGTCATTTTTTGTGACTTCAGTTATCTGATTCTCATCAATCTGACTCTCATTGGAAAACTGTATTTCTTTGGAAGTTTTCATATGAACATCAGTTTTGAAATCTTTGGCTTGTGAAGTATGACTATTCTCATCATTAACCTGAAGATGGGAAATGGTGATATTGTCTTCTAAATATCCCAAACAGTTCTTAAATTGATGATTTTGCATATCATTCATATTTTTCCACACAGCTCTTTCTCTGGGGATTGAGCTGAATTTCTCCAATGTAGGTGTAATATTAATACTGTTATCTGTATTCTTAAGTGCTTTCACATTATCACCGAAGGCAGCAGATGAAATGAGATGGTTAATTACTACATCACAGGGAGGAATAAGTTCAGTTTTCTCTGAAGTATCTTGACATATTTGCTGAATATTCGAAGTTTGTTTAAAAGGTAATATGCTGTATTCACTTTTTTTATTGAATAGTTGTATTTGTTTTATTTTACACTGTTTATCATCTAATATAATATGACTTGAATCCTGTGAACCATACTTCTCACACTGACCAGGAATCATTTTTATATCTGGAGATGAATCTAAATCTGTTTTGGTTTGGGCACTATTAATAATTTCCTTCCCTGTAGCATTTTCTTGAGTCTCCAGGTGCAATCTGAATTGTTGTTCAAATGGTTTAYGTTCAGAAACTTCTTTATTATTCCTATTGCAAGCTGTCTGATTTACAACATTGTTAAACGAGGCTCTGTTATTTTCAGTTTCCAGATGTATATCTGTGTGATGAAGATCTAATCCTTCCATTCTTTCTAAGGGTATTTTTTTGGTTTCTGTTGATAGATCCACCACTAAAAGTGGATTATTTTGTGCTTTAAATTCTGTACATTCATTGTCTTTTTCCAYGACTACCTTGTATTTTATTTCTGCAGTAACTGATTTTCTACAGTGAGTAACATTCACAGTTTGTTTTTGACTAATTACATCTTTATCTAGGTAGAGGGCTTTGCTTAGGGAGATTTCACTTTGATTTTCATCCTGAGAGACAGTAGTATCAATTTCATTCTTGACACTTTTTTCAAAAAACTGTAAACCTGTCATGATGAAGACACAGTTAAATTTTATTTTATATGCTAATGCTTTTATAAAACATGTATCACCAGTATTTGTAAAAACATTTATCCTTATTTTACTGACCAATAATTACACAAACATAACAATGTCAATTTTACATAAATATTGAGTTCTCTTTAGTATAACAAGCATATATTTAGATGCTACCTATTCAACTTTTCCCTATTGAATTTTTATTATATAACAGCAAAAGTATTTTTTTAAAGAAAGGGGAAGTAAGCTGGGGTGCTACAACATGTTTTTTTAATATCTCTTGTCTATTGTTGTTTGGACACATAACACAGTCTTATAAACAGAGAGCTGATAAAAATTAATCTATTCTGATAGGTTCCACTCTAATTTCTATTATACCTAGTCCAATCCAGCAATTGTGCAGAAGAAACTGCCTTCTTTGAATCTAACAACTGTCACTTTTTTATTCACTACCCTATAAATATTTTTAAATTCTGGAAGAGTTCTGAGAAAATGAACAGGATATCTACTTGACCAAGACATTAATTTTATTCCTCTGTGTTCTAACCATAGATAACAAATCTTAAGTATAGATAAAATAATCTAGAATTAAATTAAGGTCTTGAAGTCCATTCTTTCTACAACATCTCCACCAAGTGGTTGTTGACCTTCAATCAGTACCATCTTTAAACAACTATTTTCAAAATGGAAGCATTAGTAAATAATTTCAATAAAGAGGGTCATTTGAATTAAGAAAAGTACACTAGTCATTCATCAGAAAGCTATTGGTGACCCAGAGAACATTCTCAAAGAAATGAAGGCAAAATAAGAATGCAAAAATAGGTCAAGGAATAAGAAATGAGGAGAGGCAGAAATAGTACCTTTTCCCAAAACTATTGATAAATATTGACTGTTTGAAGGTTGCTTGTTTTCTTGATATATGCAAATGAAAAGACTATCCTATGTGGTCCTCAAAGCAAAGACTATAATCAATATTCCCTCAAATTCCATAGAGGGCCCTGCATGGTGCTTTAGCAGTTCCTTTGTGTGTGTGTGTGTGGGGGGGACTCAATACACAAGTTAGAATTAACCTTAATTTTATGGTTACCTTCTGTGATGATTTCTTCAATAGGTAGGTCTTTCTTTTCCTCCTCTTCTCTATCTTCAACATCTGAATAAAAACTCTTAGTATTTTCTTCCATTATTTCTTGCCCAGAATTGTATTTCTGTATGATGKCATTTTCTGATTTTTTAGTTCTTTCACTGTTTTCATTATTTATTTCTGGAACATTCTATTATAAAATGAAAGAGAGTCCTTCAATGTAAAAAAAAATGTTAAAAAGTATAAAACAATTGGGCAAACTTTGTTGAGAGAAGAAGAATCTGTATTTCAACTTAACTATTCATCAATTTCTATTTGAAAACCAGACAAACTTACTTTATAGTATTTAAACAAAAAACCCTTAAAYATGTTGCATGCTAAGGAGTTCCAACCTTACCAGGAAGACATGGAGAAGTCACTGAAGGACTTTTAAGCAAGGAGTGAATAACATGATCTGATCAGAAAGACCACTCTGGCTGCAATGTAAGAATGGATTAATATCCCCAAACTTCATTAACTAAAACCAGCCACGATAATGTTTATAACTCAGTGTGTATACCAAAATATTTCCTATGATACACTGATGTTTTCCATGCTACTTTATTTTTAGCAYAAATCACTAGTCAAATTTTCATGAATCACTGATAGGTTGCACCTAGAAATCTGAGAAACAATAAAAGGGAGACAGTACCTGAGGCAGAGAGATGCATCGGAGAGTGCCATAGTAGTCTAGGTGACACCAGTATAGAGGAAGAGTGATAAATAGTCTCTTAAATCATTATAAACTAACAGCAATAAGATTTGGTCAACATTTAAATGTGAGGATTGAGAGAGAAGTTAAATTACTCAAAAAGTTTACATTGTGTAACTAAGTGACTGGGATGTCAGTCACTGAGCTACTAGAAAGCAGGAGTAGCAGATTTGATGAAAATACAAATTCAGTTTGAACCTGTTTAATTTGAAGAGTTTGTAATACAATTAGGGTGGTGATGTGAAATAAATATTAGATTATGAATGTGAACTTAAGAGATAAAAATGACCTGCAACTGTAGATCTGAAAATTAACAGCAGGTGCACAGCAATTGAAGATGGGGGTATTTTGAGGGGGGAATAAAAAGGACAAAGGATAAAATGCTGATGAAGGGGCTGGGGTTGTAGCTCAGAGGTAGAGCACTTGCCTAGCACATGTGAGGCGCAGGGTTAGATCCTTAGCACAACATAAAAATATTTTTTTTAAATAAATAAAATAAAGGTATTGTGTCCAACTACAACTAAAAAAATTTTTTTTTAAAATATTGCTGATGAAGTCTTCCAAGGGAAACACAGAAGAGACTCTTACAAAGGAAATTGAGAAAAATATTATGGTAGTTACCAGAAACAGTGTGGTTGGATAAATATGGGTGCAYATCCTGGTTTTTATATATATTAGTTTTGAGATCCTAGAAGGAAACTTGTAGTGGTTATGAATAAACAAAATTTGGTATACCCATACAGTGGAGTACTATTCTACCATAAAAAGGAGTGAAGTTCTAATACAGGCTACCAAAGGATGAAGCTTGAAAACATTATGCTGATTGAAATGAGCTAGAACAAGAAGATAAATACTATATAAACACTATATGATTCTACTTACATAAAATATACAGAATAGGCAAATTAGAGTCAGAAAGTAGATGAGAGAGTACCAAAAATGGGGTGAGGGGAGTATGGGGATTTACTGTTTAATGGTTACAAAATTTCTGTTTGAAGTGATGAAAATGTTTCGGAAGTAAGACAGCAATGATGGTTGCATAACATTGCAAATGTAATTAATGCCACTGAATTTTAAGTTTAAGTGTAAGCACTTTAAAATGGCACACTTTGTATTATATATTTTACCACAACAAAAGAAACTGATAAATAAAAAGGACTACAAAATATCACAAAAATATTAATTTTTAAAGTATCTTATATGAATATTTGTGTCTATTTCTATATGAACACATGTATAGAAAAATTCTTAGAAGGTTCATCTATCAAAACTTTGGCAATTATTATTTCTGGAGGTGATATTATGAATGACCTTCATTTTCATATTTTATTTTTTAGTTTGTTCTAATTAGTTACACATGACAGTAGAAGCATTTTGACACATCAGACATAAATGGAGTATAACTTCTCATTTGTCTGGTTGAACATGATATAGAGTTACACAAGTCATGTAATTGTATGCACAAAGGGTAATAATGTCTGATTCATTCTACTAACATTCCTACAAATACATGGAATGCTTCATGAATTTGCATGCCATCCTTGTGCAAGGCCATGCAAATCTTCTCTGTAACATTCCAATTTTAGTATATGTGCTGCTGAAGGGAGCACTCATTTTCATATTCTAAAGTTTCTACATTGTCTACATTTCTTAAAATGAAAACATTACTTAAGATCTGATAAAAGAGCTATTTTCAATTTGAAAGTAAATGGATGCTGAAAGATTTATTTATGAATGCAAGTTTGTATTCATTTCTATAAACAATCAGATGGTATAAGAATTTCTTGCCAGGCTGGGGTTGTAGCTCAGTGGTAGAGCACTTGCCTTACATGCGTGAGGCACTGGGTTCAATCCTCAGCACCACATAAAAATAAAGAAAGAAAGATATTGTGTCCATGTACAACTAAAAAAAAAATATTAAAAAAAGAATTACTTGCCATTCACCACTCTCAACCTGTATTTATGAATATTAAAATATTATCTTAATATTAAAATATTATCTTCTACTGTCATGTATAACTAATTAGAACAAATTAAAAAATAATGATTCAGAGAAAGATAATATCTCTCTCTGGAGCCAGGAATAGTGGCACGCACCTGTAATCCCAGTTACTTGGGAGGCTAAGATAGGGGGATAGCAAATACAAGGCCAGTCTTAGTAGCTTAGTGCAATCCTGTCTCAAACTAAAAATAAAAAGGGTTGGGGTCTGGCCCAGCAGCAGAGTGCTTGCCTAGCACACGCAGGGTTCTGGGTTCAGTCCTCAATGCTGCCAAAACAAATCTGCCTGCACTATTGCAGTGTTCTCCAACCTGCCACATCTTTAGTCTCATCTCATTCTAGTCTCTCCATATACATCATCACTAAAATCATCTTTCAAAACAGTAAATCTGATCACTTTACGCCTCTGCTTAAAACCTCAAAAAGGTTAGAGGTAAGAACAAACTTCTACAAATGGACTATTCAGCTCTCTTTAGTCTGCTTTCTGCCTGTCTTTAAAGATTTTGTTAGTTAGCTTTCCATCACTGTGACAAAACACCTGAGTAAATTAACTTAAAGGATGAAAGATTTATTTTGGCTCCTGGTCTCAGAGGTTGCAGTCCATGATTGTGTGGCCCCATCACTAGAGGCCTGTGGTAGGGCAGACTATCATGATGGGGAACACACAGCAGAACAGAATTACTCACCTCATGGCAGCTGGTAAGGAGCGATGGGAAAAGGGATGAGGATAAGAAGGAAAGAGAGAGGCAGGGGACAAGACACAGACTTCAAGGATGAACCCTAGTAGCCCATCTCCTCCCATTCTGCYCACTTTCTAAAGTCTCCACACTTCTCAACAGCACCACCAGGTGGGTATCAAGCCTTCAACACATMTGCCTTTGGAGGACATTCCAGATCCAAATTTTAACAAAGATGAACCCTATCATTCTTCAAGTTTACTTCCTAGGGATATTTTTTACATTACAGCCCCAGGGAGGGAGAGGGTAGGTATAAATCAAGACAGTCTTGCTTATTTGAGAAGAGARATCCCAGAGATCAGAGTTAGGAGAAGCAGAGGTGGCCTCAATTTGTGAGGCAAAGTACTCAAGGTGAGGGAACTAGGAAGAAAAAGAGCTGTAGAAAACCGCACAGTCTGTTGAAAAATTAAAGATACCCAAAAAAAGAATCAAATGGAAATTCTGGAGATGATATGTATAGTATCTGAAATAAAAAGTTATTAGACTTAGTAGCAGCTTAGGCATTTTAGAAAGATAAGTGGACTTCAAGACCCAATAATGAACAATACAGACTAGTRTAGAGAAAGAAAAAAGACTGAAAAAATTTTGCAGTAGAGCTTCAGTAATCTGTTGGACAACCTCAAGCAGTCTAACATGTGTACCTGAAGTTCCACAAAAGAAGAGGGGGACAGAAAGAAATAACTGAGAAACAATGACCCCGAATCCTCCAAATTTGACGAAAACTATACCTTGAATTTACAGGTACAAGAAATTCAGTAAGTCTCAAATAAGACATAYACAAAGATCATGCCAAGGTATATCAAAATTAAATTGTTTAAAAATGGTCATGAAGGCACCCAGAAGTAAAAGACATTTATAAAGAGTGGGTATAAATACAAGATTTGTCCCAGTCTTCCTTCCAGAAGCAATACAAGCAAATAAACAATTTGAATCTTCTATTATTAATTAACAAGAGAAAAAAACCTGTCTACCTAGAATTTTATATTCCATGAAAATATRTATCATTTACAATTAAAGAAAAATAGGCACTTTTTTCAGAGAAACAAAATTTGAATTCCTTAACAGCAGATATGTACAAGAAGAAACATTAAAGTTCTTCAGGTTGAATGAAATATTACCTGGTAGAAAACTGGGTCCACACATGGGAACAAAGAATGACAGAAATAACAAGTGTGGGAGTGCATATAAAAAACTACATAATATTTTATTTTTCCTTCTTTTTTTTTTGAGTATATGTGTGGTACTGAGGAYTGAACCCAGCAGCACTCTACCTCTGAGCCACATCCCTATTTCTTTATATTTTGTATTTATTGAGACAAGGTCTTACTAAGTTGCCACTGCTAGGCTTGAACTTGTGATCCTCCTGCCGACTCAGTCTCACAGGTGACTGGCATTATAGGTGTGTGCCAGGCTAATTTTTACTCTTTAAAGTAAAATTCCAAAAAATAAACCAAAATTAAAAAAAATATTAGGACAGAGTTTATAACAAGTAGAGTAGCCTGGTACAGTGGCACATGCCTGGAATCCCAGCAACTTGGGAGGCTGGGGCAGGAAGATGGCAACTTAGCCAGCCTTGGCAACTTGGCCAGCCTGAGCAACTTACCAAGGTCCTAAGCAACTTAGTGAGACCCTATCTCAAGATTAAAAATAAAATTAAAAAGGCTGTAGATGTGACTTAGTGGTAAAGCACTCCGGGGTTAAATCCTCAGTACCAAAGGGGGGAAAAATTAAGAAAAATAAAAGAGGGCTGGGGATGTGGCTCAAGCAGTAGTGCGCTCGCCTGGCATGCGTGCAGCCCGGGTTCAATCCTCAGCACCAAATACAAACAAAGATGTTGTGTCCACTGAAAACTAAAAAATAAATATTAAAAAATTTTCTCTCTCTCTCTCTCTCACTCTCTCTTTAAAAAAAAAGAAAAAAATTATGTTCTGGTAATAATTTGAAGAGTAAAATGTATGATCACACTAAGACAAAAGACAGGAAGGAGAAAATGACAATATGGTATTGAAAACTTCTTACCTTAACAAAAATTGGATATAATATTACAAATTTGGCATAATATTATTTGAAAGTATACTATGATAAATTTACCTCTAGAGGAGAAGTTGACAAACTATGCCCAGAGGGTCAAATCCAACCCACTTTCTGTTTATATAAACATAATTTTGTTGGTATATAACCATACCCACTTGTAAATGTACTTAAGGCCATTCAATAATACATATTAAAGATGTGCTAAAAGAGTAAACTTTATATTATATACATTTTACCGCAATAATAAAGTACAAGATGGGTGTGGTAGCAAATGCCTGTAACCCCAGTGAATCGGGAGGCTGAGGCAAGAGGTTTACAAATCCAAGACTAGCCTCAGCCAACTAAGTGAGATCCCACCTCAAAATAAAAATTAAAAAGGAATAGGGATATAGCTCAGTGCCCTCTGGGACTTTAATGAAAAATAATATTAATCAAACAATAGTTCTCAAAGAAAATAAAGGACWTCCTCATGTTATTACTCAATAAAAATGTGAATAATTCCTTTAAAAACAAGATGAAAAAGATATATAATGCAAACCCTAATCAYAGAAAATGTGGTGGCTATATTAGTATAAAAAAAAAATAGACCTCAGGACAAGAAACACTAGTAGGATAGAAATGGATATTTTGGAATGACAAAAAGGYCAATTAAATAGGAAGCCATAACAATCATAAATCTGTCATAACTATCAAGAATCATATATCTAATATCAGGCTTAAAACAGATGAAGCAAAAACTAATAACTGGAGGGCTAGGGTTGTGGCTCAGAGGTAGAGTGCTTGCCTAGCATGTGWGAGCCACTGGGTTCAATCCTCAGCACCACATAAAAATAAAATAAAGGTATTGTGTCCACCTACAATTAAAAAATAAATGTTTAAAGAAAAACCTGACAACTGGAAAGAGAAAGATAAACTCATAGTTACAATCCAAAATTCAAAACTCTTCTCTCACTAATTGATAGAACAAGTACAAAAAAATCAAGATATCCAGGTATGGTGACATACTCCTATAATCCCAGTAAATCGGGAGGCTGAGGCAGGAGGATTGCAAGTTTGAGGCCAGCTTGGCAACTTAGTAAGAATCCATCTCAAAACCAAAAATAAAAAGGACTGGAAATATAAGTGAGTGGAAGAGTGGCAGAATGCCTCTAGGTTCAATCCCCAGTACCTTAAAAAAAAAGATAGAATATGAACAAAATTATCAACCAACTTGACCCTAATTTACAGTCATAAAACATTCTTTTTTTTTTAAAGAGAGAGTGAGAGAGGAGAGAGAGAGAGAGAATTTTTAATATTTATTTTTTAGTTCTCGGCAGACACAACATCTTTGTTGGTATATGGTGCTGAGGATCTAACCTGGGCCGCAMGCACGCCAGGCRAGCGTGCTACCGCTGAGCCACATCCCCAGCCCTATATCAATGGCAGAATATGTGTTTTTTCCCCTCAAGGGGTACATGAAATATTCACCAAGACGGACAATATCCTTAGCTTAAAAAATCATAATATATTTAAAATGATAAAAATCTTATATAGATTGTTCTCTGACCAGTCAAATTAAATTTGAAATCATTATCAGAAAAATATTTGGAAAATCTTCAAGTACTTATAAATTCCACAACATACTTCATAAAGGTCATACCTATATTCATSTGTTAAAGAATACTTCACAAGAAAATTTTTAAATATTTTGAACTGAATGAAAATGAAAATATATATTGAAATTTGTAGGATACAGCTAAAGCAGTGCTTAGAGGATATTTCATAGCTTTGAAAGTTCGTATTAGAAAAAAGAAAGGCATAGGGGCTGGGATGTAGCTCAGTGGCAAAGCATCTGCTTTGC